TTTGAAAAATGCAAAATTTTTATTTTTAATATTTTGGTTAAAATTTTATGGGTTTTTTGTACATCAAAATGCTTTGTCTTGACAGGGACAGTTTTTGAGGTAAAAATATTCCACAAGTGTTCTTTAGGTGATATATGAATCTCTCTGTAGCACATATTATCAGAAGAAAGTTGTAATTCAGGAATCTGATGCCTTTATTTGTGCATGCGTCGTTTCCAAAAAGTCTTCATCAGTCTGTCCACACCAGAGTGTGTTCAGAAGGTGCATTCACAAGGGGAATGCAGGTTAACATGAACTCTTCAACAATGCTGGACTCCCTATGACTTGCATAGGCAGATGCTTGCTCTCTCTAGAAACTCTATAAACATTGCTGAACAGCACTATGATGGACATATCTAGCTTCCAGCAGAGGGACACATTTATTACATTCATCAGAACCCAATGCTCTTTGAATACAGCATGGATTTTGTATACTCTGCTTTATCATACCTGAAGCATTTGTGCTTAACTGAAAAACTTTTCTACATTTTCAGCTTTTTATTTTTATTTTGGAGTTGATTGAGTTCTATCAACCTTGTTTGATAGAACTTCGATTTCCTGCATTCTAAAATTAAAAAAGACTTGTGCATTACAGAAGAATTCAATATTGCCCAAAGCAAATAAAATATCCAATCCCAAGATAAGGTAGGGATTTTACCTGATCCCAAAGGACTGTATCCAAGATTACTATGACTATAAATGTCTATTAATTTGAAATTCCAGCCATGTTCAGAAGGATAGACATCTCACTAGGTATGAAACTCAGGAGGAAATCTTTAGGGCAAATTATGATGTTCATAGCTTGCTTAGTTAAGCTAAACAAGGCAGAATTTTAAATTGTTTCAAACTGACATCTGCCAGTTGACAGGTAGGAGAAAGAGAAGTCAAAGCTATTGCTTGGTAACTGTATACAGTCATCTTGCACATATCACCCATATTTCAATGTGTAGCAGCTCTTGAAAGAGTAACTGTGTGATTCTTTCCTGACTACGTGTTTTTCTTTGTAAGAGAAGTAATGCATGATACATCTAGGAAACTCCTCAAATTTACAAGCTCAAGGTAATTGATTTGCATATTATTAACATATAATGGTATCCTTTTCATTTTACAGCAGACTTGAAGTCATCATTAACTATTTATATATATTGTACCCCAAACTCTGTAAACACTGGAATGTGGTATGGCTTGTAGTGGCTGCGATAATCATTTTTGCCGTGGTGTTGGGAATCTACCATTCATACAGTTCCTGTGATGAAGTATCAGAGAGACCTGAAGGGAAAGCCAGCTGTTCTGCTGCCCATCAATATTCCTGGTGGAACTCAGGATTTCAACATGAGCAACGCACTGAATAACAAAGCAACACCATGTATTTATGGTACCTGAGAGAGCACAGTATTAGAACACTATTGTTAAAGGTAGTGCTTAGTCATCTTTACAGTTGTCTGTTACGTCTGTTACACGAGTGAGTTACTCCACCCCATCAATCCTGGTGATACATCGTGAACATAGCTTGCCAAAATAATAACCTGGTAAATAATTATTTTTATCCTCTTAATTTAAATGACTGATTCAAATAATATTGAATCACGATAAGGTTTTGGCAGTAATTAGCAACCAGCAGGCAATTAAAAGGAAGATTTGCACAAGATGTTGACACCTTTCCTTTGATTTTGAAGGCTATGATTAATACCATATTTGCAGTTAGTGTTTCACTTTGCATTTCCTGAATTCATTGTTTTGTTGTTGTTGTTGACGTATTAATGACATTTGTGTCCTTTGAGTTTTAAAACTGTAATTTTTTTTTGTTGTCATTGTTCATTATTTTTGGGTAGAAATCTAAGGCCAATGGAAGGTTAAAATTATTTTGTCAGACAAGATGTCTTGTGGATGCCTTAATTTCATGAAGGGAATTATCAGTATGCAAGTACATTCGTACGTGTGTTTTATGATATACTTTAAAACTAGGACCATCTCTATTTTTTGAAGGGGTTATATAACAAAACCTAAAAAGAGGTGTAGGTGGCACTTTTGGTATCATCCTGTAAGATTTGGGATCTTCTGATCTTCGTGTGAGCTTGTCTCCTTTTGGTGTAAGGTCTGGAGCTCAATTTATTGAAGAAAACAGATTTCTAACAGTCAGAAATTTAATTTGCGTATTTATTGCTAATAAGAAATATCCTGCTGGTGAATTTTGTTTGTTGCATCTTTAGCTAAATCTTTCTTACAAGAAAATTACATGGAGGAGTGAGGAGAAAAAAAAAGAAAAATAGTAGATCACTGCTAGCTTTGGGGAAAAAAAAAAACCACCTATAAGGAGTTCAGAGGTTTTTATTATATATACTACTTGTTTGGTTTTGTTTTTTTTTGATGAATATAGAGTGTTTAAGGAAGTTCAAAAAGGATAACGGGAAAGTGTCATTTGGACTAAAATTGTAATTGCTAAACAAGGCAGAAAGAGAGTTTCTTGCTAATTATTTGATATATATTTGATTCAGTTAGAATACCCGACAATGAAGAATTACTGTGACATTTCCCATACTTCTACTATTTAAAGAAACTTACAGATGGCTCTTTCAATATTCATTTATTAGAACCAGCTTCTTCAACTTAAAACTATTTAGAAATAATGTTGATGACATAAAAGGCAAATAGTCCTGAAGATTCAGAATCCACTGTGCCAAAAATTGTGATACATACTTTGTTATGTGACTACAGACATTTTGGAGCATACTGAGGAAAAATAGATAACAATGTCTGTAATTGAATTAATTTGGTCTTATTCACCTTTGCACTGATGTTGAATCAACCTTAATTTAGTACTTGTAGAATGTTACTGATCTCAGTAAGACTCTTCAACTGCTTAATGTTGAGCATGTGCTAAGTTTTTGTTGGCCAGAGTGTGGACAGGGTCTTCATCCTCTTTTGGAATTCAGCACAATGGATTTTCATGGACTTGGTCCACAAGGCAAAATTTCATAAGTAGTTGTATTAATTGGAGCTGAGCTACTTGCAGTGTTTAAGGCGAGTATAATTTAACCACAAAGGTTATCATTATGGGGAGTGGATTGAGAGAAGTGTGGGATTTCTAAAAGGATTAAAAGATGAGGATAAAGTTGATGAAAATATAAATAGTTTTAATTTATACACCTACTGTGAGAAAACTGTCCACTAAAAGTAATGGACCACAGTGACTAACAGCACATTAAATATTTTTGCTTACATTTTTCAGTTAATTAGTGAAGACACCCTTTTGGATAGAAAACTAGGTTGTGGACAAAACCTATTCTAAACGTAGTTTATTTCCATTGAATATTAGTTTTCTTTATCTGTTTAAAAAAAAAAGAAAAATAAAACACACACACACAAAATCTCTTCTGAGTTCAGAGATCACAACAGATAATGAGAAATAGATCTACTATTTATGCCATTAACACTGAAATAGATTTCCTGAGGTGCAATATTTATTTTTTGCTTAAGCAAGACACGTCTATTGTTTCTCCTGCACAGCACAGATGTTTCTAGTAAAAGGAATTTTAAAAGGGCACTATTTTTTTGTATCATATTTAAATCTGTAACATTGTAAGATTTTGCACCAGTCTGCTGGTATTGTACTGTATAGTATCACATACTTGAGTTTTGAAATAAAAGAACAGTTTCAAAATCCTCACTGTTGCTACCTTAAAGATTTATTTTTCACATGCACTCTGTCTGCATATTAATGAAAATATTCTTCTGAAATGCCATTGCCTTTTCTACACTGCATAATGTAGTGTCATGTTATCCATACCAAAGATCTTGTTCTTAGTGTTTCATTTATTCAGAAAAATGATGTAGAAGAGCAAGCAAACTCCCATTTCAATAGAAAAGATGTTTGTAAGCAGAGTCAACCTCGTCATATCCTAAAAATGAGAGAGGATGCTGAAATATCCCGGAGAGAGTTTAACTCCTGCTTCGGAGAGTGGCTGCTTGTCTTTGAGGAGATAGAAGACTGGCAACCATAGGAGACTAAGTGAAAGGTTAGGATTCTTTGTGTGAGTTGTGTTCTTTTAGTCTTGGAAGGACTGGGAAGCAAGGGCTTTGTGGAGAGCTGAACTGCCAGACCAGTGCGAAGGAGACAGTGCTCAATTTCCACAAAGAGCACAGATTTCACTGCTGAATTTCTGATGGTCTGCTTCAGGGAGATAAAATCTGGGACAAAGATAATCTTGAAAGAGATAGTTGCTACCAAGTAAAGAGACCCTGATATTTGTATTTTCCACATATACATCTGTTTCCTCTTCATTTGTTTCTGTTCCTATTTTTCAGGCTTCAGGTGTCCTTTAGAAATGATTGCAGAGAATATTTAAGTCTGTTCTCCCCAGACCAAAAGTTTTCTGTCTAGTGATCTTCATCATCTTTTGAAACATTTCTAAACATGTTGGCATGAGATGATGGGATGTTCCTTATAGCTTGCCATATTTTTTTTAAATGCTAATTTAAAATATTCAGCAAGAATCTGGGCTTATTTTTTTGCACACGAGTTAAGGTGAAGACCCATAAACAACTTACAAACCTTTTCTAATGATACAGTCCAGATAAATGATCTTCCTCATAATTTTGGAACAGCTAAAATGTTAGAAGAAAGAAACTGATTAAAAAAAAATCAGTCTTACTTTATCATTCTATTTTTTTCATCTCATAATCTGTATATTGCTCTTAAAAGCCATGTTGAAGGAGCTTATATTTTTGTTTATTTTAACCAAGTTGTTTTTGTCATTCTTTTCCAGCTAAAAATCCAATTAAACATCAATAACATGGACAGAGTTTGACTAAAGGAACTTTGCCACAGTGAGAACAATTGGCACAAGGTAGTAAACTTGGAATCATAGAATTGCTCAGGTTGGAAAAGACCTTGAAGATCATCTAGTCCAACCACGACCTAACCATACTACCCTAACTCTAACAACTGCTAAATCATGTCCCTGAGCACCACATCCAAATGGTTTTTGAAAAGAAATTAGCATGCAGTTTTAAAATACCTCTCTTCAGAATCCAACTTTTGAAATCAGTTTTCATGGCAGGAGATAGTTAGCAGTTCAAGGCTATGGAGATGGTTTTGTTTAATATTATTTTACAGTCGCAGACCACTAATCCATGAAAGCAGCAGAATAACTGGTAGTTTCTCCCACATCATGAATGCAAGTGAATCCACTTAGAGCTTCAGTTGAAAGTCTGATTGCAATACTGCAGATTGCCATCACTATGTAGATGCATGTAAGTATAGTAAAACAAAGATAAAAATAGAAATTTGTCTTAAGATCTCAAAGAGATTTACCCACGTTCAGTTCTAAACCACAGCTGAAACACAACCAGATTTTCATTTGTTTGTTAGTATTGGAGACATAATTTCATTAGCCACAGCAGCCATCTGCCACTTAGCCCTGTAGATGTCTATGTTGTAGAATCTACATAACCATGGTATGTGCTGTGGGGGTGGGAGGTAGGACTTATGCCATTTGCTAAGACTTCCTGAAGGTTTTTGAAGTTAACTGCTGCCAGGATTATCTGTGGTTTGAATCAGTCTGTTGGTATTAGTTTATTCAGAGCTCACAAAAGACAGCAGTGAATGGATTGGCTCCCATCATGTCCATATGTGGTCTCACAAGAAATCCTACTTATGCATATCTCCAAATCTGTCCAAAAGCACGTATCAAATTACCTATTATGGTACCTATTTTTGCACTGGAACCGAAAGGCAAAGGATGAAGGTAAATGCACTACATCAAGGCAAATAAAACAGTAGAGAATAGATGCCCTTCTAATTCCAAAATAAAAACCCCAATTTTGTTCCTCTGTATGACTGCCTGCCTTGCTGTGATTTAATAGCCAATTATTTTTATTTACCAGATGAACAGACAATATGATTACTGTTTGTTAATCAGTAAAACAGGAAAAAACAGCAAAAGGAAAACTTATTTCAGAGTGTTTACTGACTTAGCAGTTTAACAGTCTTATCTCCCTTCCTCAGCTGTTTTCTCAGTCAGCAGTAGTTAAATTTTCCAGCAAGCCCTACATGAAAGAAAATGTAAAGGGTGATTACGGATTTCCAGTCAGTGACCTCACCTTTGAGTGGGACAGTCAACACATTTGAGGCTTCTACGAAGCAGTGCAGTGACAGCTGAAGTTTCTTTCAAAAAGTCATCTGAAAGGCAATCTCAGACGGGGTCTGGCAGTATCCAGTATCTTAATTCTTCTCAGCACAGAAGACAAATCACCTCAAATATCTCAGTCTTCTGAGTTTGTGACAATGGCAGCTTATTTCGGAGTTACCTCAGCGGTGTTATCAGTCTGGATTATGACATTCATGGCTCAAAATTGCTTTATAACAGGTATGTAAAGTTTCACTTTCTAAAACAAAGTAGTTGAACAGAAAAGCATTTGGAAAAAAATAGATTTGCAAGCAAATGGGGGAAAGAGGGTGTGTGTAAACGGGTTTGCTAGCATAGGAAACAACAGGCTCTTCATAGGATAGTGCAATGAAAAATAGCATAAGGAGAGTCTTTCATTATTAGTCTAATTCTTTGATAAGTTCAAGTGATACATAAATGCTACAGAATTGCTTGTTCCAAAATTACAATAATCCATTTAGAATTAAGTTCAGAATTATTGAAATGTGACTTTGTTGTTTTTAATAGACCATTTAATATAGCATAGCAGATAGTTTTGTGCAGTCCTCAGAGAGCAAAATCTGTATGAAATCAGTTTCTGTGATAAAATGCTATCATTAACACAGTTATTTGCACTGATTTGGCAATATCTTGACAATTTCTTTGTTTGCAAAATTGAAGGAAAGTTGCACAAGGATTTTGTGGTTCATCTCCAGGATAGAAACACTTGTCTCTGGTTAATATAACATAAATTTCCTATTTTTTATAAACTGTTTGAAAAATTAGTGTAGGGAATTGCCAACTTCAGCTGTATCCTACAGTGTTTAGATAACCCCTTTCCCTCAGATGTTATTATATGTCCCTGCTTTTAGAATCAGTCATATAATACCCCTTTCTTCTGTAAGTTAGTGAAATTTGGAGGCCTCCTACACTAGACTTTCTGAAGATAGAAAATGTTTCCCGATGCTTCACTACAGTTTGCAGGGAGGAAATGCTTGCTCTGCCTATGTAAAAGAACATTACACCACTTGTTGCAGAGAATTGATTTTCTTATCTACTGAAAGGCCTCTGAAGGAAACCTGGACTTGGGTGAATCAGGTGCTCAGCTCAAGTCCTGTTGAAATTCTATGATTGACAACAGATCCCATCTACTGAATATATTTTTTGCTGGGGAAATACCTTGAGTTTTAAGACTATGCCTTTGTTAGGGATGTTTACTCCTTTACTTCCCCTCTAAGCCTTACTTAGGGTAATTGCTCTTGTACTCTCTGCTCATTTGCCCAAGAAGTCAGGTTAAGCTCGTGGCTGATTCCTATGTGCCTTGGAGTTGTGTTGTATGTAGTATGCTTGTGCCCAGACCTGCCCACTCCTCTACTGACTTACTGGCTGGGCTTCACTGATGGGATCATGCACTGTAGCTGGCCTTCTGTCCAGAGAGGACTTCAGGCATGTGTTATAGGTAGCATATTTCTTTTTCTGTTCCCAAATGCACTTTCTTCTTGATTCCTGTGTCTGACACATTGTCTTGCACTTTACCAGTGCAAAGAGGATGCCACAGACCTTTCACAGCATGACTCTGCTTGGATGCTGTGTGACTGTGCCCTAGCTGTGAGGCACTGTCATGCCTGTGCTGCAGTCACCCTCTGCTCCTTGCTCACCTTTTAATGTGGAGCAGCTTCACTCTTGCTGCTCCCTGATGTCAGCAACCCAAGTAAACTCTTTCTAACAAATCGGAGTGAGGGCTTGGGTGAAGGTAAAGAGACAAAAAGCTTCTTCAAAAAGTAAGAAGAGAATAAATGCAGAACAAGCCCACATTCTACACACATTCCTCCTGTCCTGTGACAAGTTTGTCTTCTTGTGAGATTCTTCTGTCTAGTTTTTCCCACCTCTCCCAGTAAAGTGGATTTCTTATAAAAGACTCAAACAGTGAGGAAAATGTTCAGTTACTAGTAGATTAACTAAATAGACCAAAACTTAAATGATAACTATGGGCAACTTGTAAACACAGTGCTTTTAAAGGATTAGTCTGCCTCCTGTACAACCTGAGTTTTCTTTAGTGCAGAAATCAGAGGTGATTTAAGAAACAATGAAAAGTCTAGAAGAGCTGACTTTTCTCTTTCTACATTTCATTTTCATGCTGTAAAACCAACCAAGATCTAAATCTAAATCCAAGTTGGAACCAATAATTTTTCCAAAACATTCTTTTTACTTTTCTATTTTGTTTAGCAAATTCTAAGGTAAAACTTTGGCCCATGTCTTACAATCACTTGTATTAATACTTATGACTCAGCTTGCTGGTACATTTATTGTGCTTTATATCTATTCTATCTATTAAGCAATTCTCATCTTATAATCGTGTAATTGAATGACTGAAGACTATAGCAGTTTACAACTATCTAGACAACTTTCTAAGGGAAACAGGTGTTTAATTAAGCAGTAACAGTAAGAGTGACATCTGAGCAAGTAAGGGGAGAAAGGAATTAGGAATAAATAATAGAGAAGGAATGGGAGCTTGAAAATGGGATGTGCATCAGCAGCTGTGAAAGAGGGGAAATGTAAAAGTTCTCAAGATGGAGAGATCCTTGCTAGCAAAAGGGAATCTAGAAAACTTAATGCTGGAGCACCTGTCTGATACCAAGATGAAGACATACAGGGGGTCACTCATGAACACACTGACTGGACAGGAAGATATTTGACAGTAACAGAAGAAATTTGGCGACGTGATTCATCATTTTGCTAGGATTCCTTGAACAGATTTGAGGTCCTTGATACCTGACACACACCTCTTCACTGAGCAACAGTGTATTTTTGGGTCTTAGAGCTCTGAATTCTCACACAGTGTATTTGGCCAGGACTGGAAGTTAAGATTTGGCTATGGGGACTGTTTAAATGTTCACTGATTCACCAGCAGTCTGACTGGGTCTGTGCTACACCAGGAAGTGGGTATGGGAGGCCACAACTCTACAGACGCTGAGATAAATCCATCAAGATCAATGATTGCTCTATGCAACGTTTAAATCCCATTCAATTAAACCTAAAACCAGCAGAGATGCATCTTTCACCAGAAGACATTTCCAACTGTGCCCTGTTCAGTGGAAGCAAGAGTGGAAAGCCTGCCTTTGTTTATGCCTTCCACACAAGTTTAGACATTTTCTTAACCTCTTCTTGTAGTGCTAGTTCTATCATTCCATTCAAAAAATTCAGTTGAAGCTCTGTTGCTAAGAAATGATAATGATGGTGGACATACAGAGCCGGTATAGAATGTCCAGCAAGGAAGTAACACCTGTGAGAGCTGGTTATCTGGAGTGTTTGCAATGAAATCCTGAAATGGTTGCAAGCTTAAACAAATACCAAGAAAAAAAAAAAAAAGTGTGTCCAGAGTACCCAGTTAATCTAGTGGCATTTTGTTGTGTTTCTGTTGATTTTATTTTGACAAGGTATGGGAATTTTCTTCCCAGGAAATGTGTAGCTATTTTGAAATTACTTCTTATAGGCTATTCCTTTTCATTTAATATGGAAAATACTGTATGCAACTTAAAAAAAAAAAAAAAAGGAAAAATATTTTTTTTCTGGCATATGCTTCTGGGAAATATCTGAACAGAAGAGCACATCTTTTCCCATTATCTGTGTAAAATCTTGAGTTCTGCCCTACATTCTTAACTCAGGCTAAAAGAGTACAGCAGGTACAATCAGACCTAACCTATGTCTTCCCCGAGGTGGTTGCCATGGACAATGTGCCAGATGTAGCTTTCTAAAAATGCTGGATAAGCGGCCTATTGTTGTTGATGAATTTGGGAAAAGTATCATAAATCCAACTATCTTCTCTCTTCCTACCACCTGTTTCCTGCCTCATACTCAGCAAATTCAGTAGTTGACCGTACCTGGAAGAAAAAATAAATAAATTAAAAAAGAAATCATGCCAAACAACATGGGTTGCTCCGAAAGTAATGCCTCCCGTTTATTTTCATGGAAACTACAACACATACAAAGAGCACGGTAACACTATTTGATAGAGAAAATTCTCAGCTACTAAACACCCTTTTTCAACATGGTCACCCCCGTTAGTTGTGCATTTTCACCAGTGATGAATGAGAGCATGCAAGTCATGCTCATAAAAATCTGCACCAGTGGCAGTGACTTGCTGTCCTCACTGCTGAAATGCACTACCCATCACATCAGTGTGCTCACATGCATGTTTGTCCTCCATTAACGTTCAGCAAGCACTGATGAATGTCAGTGGGTGCATTTTTTTTTTTTCTTATGGAAGAATTCAGTGACACACCATTGCTTCATCCACACTGCCATGTCAGACTCCATTTTGTCAGACTGCCCCTCTGCTGCCATCCGTCACATGGCAACAACATGGAACAGAATACTAGTGTGAAGGTTCAGCTTCTACTTCCATACCACCAACATCTGTCTCTGATCTTGTGGGCAACATAGTAAAATGAGGCATTTCCTTCAGAGCTGCTCTCATAGGAAAGAAAGATAAGTTTAAAAGAACCGAGAAACAATTTTAAAATCTTTCTATTAAGAAGAGTGCTCTGACAATCCAGCCCAGTGCTTTAGTGCAACTTTACTTTTATCTTTTTCATTTTTTAAAAAAGGAAAAAACCCCTGAATCTGATCAGGTAACAACTCAAATGCTGACTGTACTTACATTTAATTTAATGACTGTCAGAACTTTTGAAATTCTAGACTATTATGTTGAGACAATATTTTATTGTGAAGTAGTTATTTTTATAGAAATCAGTTTTTTGCCATCCTCAAATTAGAAACTTTGAAGAATAAGCAATTTGTCTGAATATGATCTTAAGCATGATCTTAAATTTTACATGGAGGATAACTGTTAGCATTAAAATATGAAATTAACTTTGAATATCTATGTCTAAATTACAGGTTCCACGCTTTCATCTTGCAGGATCACAGGTGTAGGACTTTATCTTGACAAGAAAGTGAATTTTTCAGAAGCAAGTAATGTGTGCAGTCAACTGAATCTACAACTGGCAAGTAAAGAGCAGGTTGAGAAAGCTTTGAAAAATGGCTTTGAAACATGCAGGTATACAACATCCATTAGTTTGTCTTTATTTTCAGTAAACCCTTTTACCTAATGTGAAGCTGTGTAGAAATCTACTATTAAAAAGACTTATGCTTTTATTGTAGTTCTGGATGGATAGAAGATGGATTCGTTGCCATTCCTCGTATAACATCCAATAAGAAATGTGGTCAGGGCAATGTTGGAGTAGTGAACTGGCGTGCTAATCAAGCTGCTAAGTTTGCAGTTTACTGCTTCAATTCTTCAGGTGTGTAAGTATGACAACTACATTTCTTGTGTTTGGGTTTGAATTCTTTTTTAAATATTTACATACAAAATATCATAACAAATAAGTAAGTACTTATCATTTGATGAATCTTTCACCCGATTTCAAATGTTGTCAAGCTTTATTTATCTCTGCAAGGTTAAAAAAAGAAAAACAAACAAAAAAACCCATGTTTCCGAGCAATACAGAAATTCCATTCCATTAATGAAAAATAGTAAGTTGGTGTTGCTATGGAAGATCTTATTGGAAAAGTTGCTTTTGCCATGTCAACACAATATATTTAATAGGTTTTGACTAGTTAGGTATGGTGATTTGAAAGATGGTAAACAATCTGCAACCAGGGTGCCTGTGTACACATACACATTTTTTGGCAATGACCAAAAGAGGGTTTCTTCAGGAAAAGCTGATTCTTTTTTGAAAAAAAGGAAATGTATGCATTAAATTAAATAGAGGATCATTTAAGAGATCACAAAATCAACACAATTTCCAGCCTACACTCAGTAAAACGAAACAGCTTCTTTTGTAGGACATCATCTGAATCGTTCTGTTTGAGAAAAGATCTGTCCTTCCTCTCCTGCTTGACTATCTGTTCTTAGATCAAAGAAACAGAAGCAGAACTTAGGTCTTGATGTAAATTAGCTCTTCATTTCAGAACAGATCAGTATTGTTTCTTAATTACTTCTACCTTATCTACTGAAAATAAGTATTTAACTGCAGGTTTTGCGTTCTTGCTAGTGTTCCATACTCGTGATTATTATGTAACCATCCCGGTGAATCACTGATCGTGTATATGGTGAAATTATTTCTAGTCAGTGCCTTGACCTTGCCAGTGAGTTTTAGGTAACAATACAAAATTCTGAAAAGAGATGTGTCAACATGGGTTGGAAAGACCAGGAGAAAGATAGCTTTCCAATATATGCCCATACAATGACAAGAATACAGACTGTGCCTATTTCCTGTGGTGTCCCCCAGGAGTCTGTCTTGAGACTGGTGTTCTTTAATGTTTTTATCTACGATCTAAACAGTGGAAGTGAGTGAAATACGTGTCATTTCGCATCAGGAATCTTGGATAGGCAGGTAACATTAAGGAGGTAGCAAGTAATTCCAAAAAGAAGGTTGACTGACTGGTTAGAAAATAATAATAATAATAAAAAATTAACACTGTGATGATTCTGCGTTTCTCCATCTTAATAGCCCAAATGCCACCTGTTCTAATTATTTCTTAGCTAAAACATTTGTGGCTGTAACACCAAAAATCATTTGAAAACCGTGGTGGAGAAAGAGTAAAAAGCCTCTGTTATTTAGCTTTTTATTCTGTGAATGTAACTGCGTCATCAGACTTCCCATGGGGATTCATTTGGAGAACAGTACATATGTCATTTCCCATTATTTACGTTGTAATCTGCTTGTTTAGCGAAATCTTTACAGCTTTACAGAACATGGATCTTCACTAAAAAAGATGAATTTTCATATTTTCACACAAGCCAGTTCAGTAGTCAGATTTTGCATTTATATGTAGAAGTCCACTTCCACCCACGTTTTTATACAAACAATATTCACATCATTTAAATGACTTAATCTCAGGATATGCCTGGTGTTTGTATCTTTGTAGACACCAGCAGAATCGTCTCATTTTTTATTTTACTCTGGTGCCTGATTTACCTGAAAGTTTTATGGGATACTTTTTCTCCTAGGAAATCAATACTGCCAAAAGTGTCAACAGTGCATCTGTATGTTTTGAACATATAAATAATAGGGTTTATTTTCCCATTATATAATGGGGATTCTTTTGAAGCTTGGATCTGTAGTTAAGCTTTCTGCTCTGCAGGAGGCCAGGTTATTTATTTTTAATATGGATTATTGCTATAAGTACTCTTCAGAAGGAATTATAAAAGAAGCAGTTATAAAATGCATACCACTGAAAGTGGTCAACTATATAAGTAATGGTTAAAAGTGTACAATAATGATTTTAGCTACTTGTTTGAAAAAAAGCTTGACTGATTTAGATAATGCTTTTCTGACCAAGCACATGATCTCCAGAAGGAAATGGCTGGACAACAATTCCTATAAATGTTTATAATTCTTATGTATTTCCTTTCCCTACTATAGATGTTCAAATTAATTCATGTAAACCAGATCCAACTACAACCATACTACCATCATCAAGTGTACCAACAGAATTAACTGCGTATTCAGGTTCAGATTTGACTGGGAACACCACGGCAGTGCCCACTGCAACTGAACCAGAGCAAACCCTGAAAAACGTGAAATTTCGGATAATATGTGTAACTGAAACTATATTACCAACAGAGGGGACTACTACAGCAATGCCAGAGGAATACCACACTAACCCTGCTGCATTTAGGAATGATGGTGTTGTCTTTGGAGGTAAGGGCAGTGTTCCTTAACTAGAACAACTCGTTAGTGAGATAGATGTTAGCAGTAAAAGTGCTTACCGCTGGTTTTATTTGCTACTCCAGCATTCTTTTTTATATAGCTGAACCTTGAAGTACAATAAAATGTCAGAAAGCTTATAAAAAAGGGGTTTTTTTAACATAATTTTTAAGTATAAGATCTTAAGATTTTATTCTTTTTGGTAATATTTATGTATGAAATGGTGGAAATTCATTGTGGTTAATGTGATTTGGGTTAAATTCATTTCTGAGAAAGTCCTAGCATAGCACCGTGTGCTCTGAATAATTGAAAACTCAGCCAGATCTTAAAAATAAAAGAAGAAAATTTGAAGTAGAACAGTGATTTGTTTTCCAGATACAGGGTGTGAAAAACTAATCCTAACAAACAGAAACTGGAAAATAGACTAAATATATGGAAAAACGCATTCAATGGAAGGATAGTTAATTACAAAACAGATTTTCTCAGTAGGTTGTTTAAAAAAATCTCTGATGAGCAGATTAGACAAATGTCTGTCAAGGAGTGCCTACATCCTTTCAGTCTCTCAAAAGAAGGAGCAGAAGTAACCAAGATTTTGAGATTCCTTAATTTTATTCTTGTATGAGTGTCTGTGTACATACATACCTCTTACTCCAGGCTGGTTTTGGAAGAATCTGGATTTACGTTCATAAGCCTTTAAAAAGTCCTATATAAAGATATATAGAACCTTTATGCTTACCTCCCTTTTATTTTTAGGTATCCCCACTGCACTCCTTGTACTGGCAATCATCTTCTTCATTATTTCAGTTCTTCTAGCAGTCTGCTACATCAAAAAGTAAGGTTTTTCTATCTTTTCTCTTATAGAGAGTTAACTCCTAGAGTACAGGCAGTGAATATTTCATAGATAAGAGCTACAGAGCAGGGCTGTAATGATAATGACATACCTGTAAAACAAAGAATTAAATCTTCAGCTCTGTTGTTCTGCAGTTATTTTTTGTTCCTATTGTTGCTATTCCCCTTTTTAGAAAAGAAATCAGACCAATATGACCGATTTTTGATTAATCAGTCACTCCTAGTGTGGAGTGCTGCTGTCTGCCAAAACAGCAATGTTTAAGCATGCAACTGTTTATATAAAAGCCTATTTATGCAGCTTTCTTTTGTTTCTTTCAATGTCAGACTCGAGAGAATAACACTTACCCTTCAGAAAAAAAAACTTGGTTACCCCCTTTGAGCCACTTATACAGATCTTCAACACAGAGGATCATTCGAGATCAAAAAGTTGTGCACATTTCTAACATTTTTGCCCAGCTTGCATTATCATTATGGACCACAAATCCTGAACTTACATGGTTTGTATAAAGCAAAAAAAAAGCAGAAAATATTTCTTTAAAAGGCACGTTGCTTTTAAAAGTACAGTGACCCCACTTGCTGCTATTCTCTGTGGGATTTTTGCCTTGAATATAGCAGAGAAAGCAAATGCTAGATATTTGGTAGCACCTCTCAACAAATAAAATACTAAACTAATGTCAGTGTTTCTGCTTTAATACCCTTTCTTTTTATTTAAAGGTACAAGAAATCCTTCCCATTTTCAAACAAGAACCAGAAAAAAGTGGTTGAAACTACGGCTCTCAAAGAGACTGCATCAAATGACAAAACATTCGAGAAGGAAACAAAGAATAATGAAAAAAAGGTAGAAGAGGCCAAAGCCAAGCCTGAAACCACAGTAAAAAGTCTGGAAGTGGAAGTTTAAGGTCAGCAGAAGAGGAGAAACATACAGTTCTTTTTAGAAATATATAAAACAAAGCACGTAACTTAGCAATGCTTTTAAATGCAGGTGACTGTAAATACTCATGAATGATTTTTTTCTTATCTTAACATATGAAAACATTGTTTTTTAAATAATTACATCTCCAGCTATAAATGCTCTTGCAAAAGAATATGGTATCTTACTAGAAATAAATAAAACATCCATATTACAGTTCACTTCTTAATAAAGAAGTACATCAAAATTTGCTGTTCATGACACGCAGTGTGTGACTATTTGCATGAAATTCACATCGATATGTAATGAAAAATTCCTTTATATCTGTATGGGTGAATCTGCTAACTTAATGTCTAAAATAAAACAATACTAGGTTATAAATAAAACAATAGTAGGTTGATTTATTTCCGTTAAGTAGTTACACACTGTTTTTAAAAAGTCTGTTTACAAACAGAATAAGTCTGTTTACAAGTAAAAAATCAAGATTGGCCCACTGTCATTCCAATACCAAAAGAAGGGTACAAAGATGCTGATCTTCATCAGCATCCTTGAACAACTTTCTAAGGTATCCCCATCATATCATTCACTGTTTTATTTATTAAAATCTGTATCATTCTTTTGCATCAGATATTTGACAGGGAAAAAGAACCTTGAACTGTATTACAACGGTTATATTTAAGGTCTTTGTGTGTATTTAAGTGCGGCCTTCCAAATAAAGGCTTCAAGTGGTATAAGGCATTTAGAGTACTTCATAAAGCAAGGAATTTGGTAGAAATGTTTGTCTAGACCATTTATTCTCATGAAAACGGTCTTATAAGAGAAAGATCTCGTATAACCTCAATGTTGCAGAAGTAATTAGTGGGTATGAATGGGAGAAAAAAACCACTACCAGCAATTTACCAAATATTTTATTGAATACATGGTTTAGATAACTCTTATATTTGAAGTTATTATGGCAAAAAAGGGTTTTCTTTAGATCAAGTAGTTGAAAAAGTCTTAAATAGAATAGTAATAGAACTGCTCACATGCTGTTTTCTACAGTGTAGAATATCTGGCTATGACCTTTCATGTTTTAGATTCACAGAAATCTAACATTTGCCCAAGTATGTTATATATTCCACTAGACAAACAGTTGTAGGGCATTGCTAACAGCCTACTTCGAGGAGCCACCTGTTCTTCGTTTGTTGTTTTTGATAGCAGAGACATTTTATAGACACAGGAGTCTGGGCTGGGTTGATACACAGCCCACCACTTCTGCAGAAGGACTGTGATCCCACACAGCTCCACAAACCACTAATTTAAACCACCCACAGAACTTCAGCAGAGAAAATTTTCAACAGAGAACAGAGGAAAGCACTGCATACAGCCCTCCTTGCTCAGTTAAGTAGTTCCTCTCCTTGCCAAGTGCTGCAGGAATGCAGTGCATCTCTGCTTGCACACATAATGAAAGCACGCTATGCCGTGTAAGCAGTGAGTAGCAAGCAGGAATAATGCCATCAGGAAATCCACGGCCATCACTTGTCAGAAGGGTGTCACAAAAGTATATGGGCTTAAACACACAGGCAGTGGATACAAGGTAATTCTGGGCTTTTTCGTGACGTATTACAGTTGCCCTTTAACAACTGTCTTTTCCAGTTTTTAGAGATAAGAAATTACCCGCTTCTCTTTTCCTCATCAGCAAGTGGTAATTATCGATTTTTGCTGCTGCTGTCATTTTTATTTTAAATCTGCTTTTGTCGGTAGAATTAAGAAGTTGCCCTACTACGTAAGCATCTCTTTTACCTCCAAAACTCACACAGCGTTCATGCCGACCTGCACACTGATGTCTGGCCGTGTGTACGGGTTGCTTCACCCTGGTTTACAGCTCTCCTGGAGCGCTCAGTGCCGTGCACACACCCTGCCTTGGGGCCTGATCAGAGCAGCGAGGAACCTGCTTCCACCTGCACTTCTGGTAACATCACAAAGGCTAAAATGAAGCTGCTACGCAATACAAGCCAGGTACAAATAGCAAATCAGTGAGTGTTGATGTTGTCTGTACAGAACGAGCACGGCTCCGTTACGTTTGGATGTTTGGATGAGTATAAAACGTTCCTGCTCACGATTTAATGGAGTTGCGAGGCACCACTACAAAGCAAACACCGAACTTCCAGACAAGACGTCAAGCAGCCCCAGCCCTCAACCGGCACTCCGAGAAACTTAGGAGAGATTCTAGAAAGGACGTTTCTGCCTCTTGTCAAACGCCTTTCCTTTTTAACCGCTCTCAGCGCCGCAAAGCGCTCCCGTACGGCTGATTCGCCGCACCCGTCCGCTGGCGGCGGCCCCGTCCCGCTTCCCGCACGCGGCACAGCTGCTCGCTGACCCCCGGCTCCGCAGGAAGCGCCGCGGGTTCCCGGCCCAGCCCAGGCGGTGCCCGGACACCGGGCTGCCGCGGCGTGGGAAGCGCGCGACTCAAGTGTGCAGGAAGGGGAAGCGGGGGAAGCAGCGCTCCTTTTCTCCGCTCTGAATGGCGGACGGAACGCGACTTCGGGAATTACAACCCGAAGCATTGGGATGCAGGTGACCTCTAGGGGCTGCGCTCGGGCTTCTGTCCCTCAGCGCCTTATCGCTGACGGCCGTGGCTGGTTTCCCCGGTTTCCTCGCTCACAGGGTCAGCGCTCAGCGCCGCGCCCCCTTCCGCCCGACGGCAGCGCGGCGTCACCGCGGCGCGCCGGGAGCCGCCGCGCCTGCGCCGAGTGCCGGGCGCGGGGTGCGGCCCCGCCGGGAGGCGGCGAGCGGGATGCCGGGCCGCTGGGGTGAGGTCGCCGTCCGCGTTCCGAGGAGGAAAGGGGGAGGGGGGGGTGCGAGGCGGGGGCGGGACCGGGAAGCCGTCGGGGTGGGCGCCGCGAGCGGCTGGGCGCCGCCGCCTTCGGAGAACGGCTGGAGAGTGGAGGGAGTCCCGCCTCCGGCACGGGGCGCCGCGGGCCTGGCGCGAGCGCGGCCGTTTCCCGGCGGCTGTAGGCGCGCGGTTGTGTCCCTCAGTAACGCGGAGCCGTGCGGTTCTTAAGGTTGATGTTATTTCGCGCTCAAGTTTGCCAGCTGTAGGCCTCTGTCTGTCTGCAGCGGTCCTCTGAAGACGTGAAACCGATGGCGAGCGCCAAGCCGCGCGGACAGAATTGCCTTTGGCACTTGAAAATCAGAAGCAAAGAGAAATCGCGACGTTAGTCCCGCTTAATGTTTAGCGAGAGGGAACGGGCGGCAGAAGCGGGTGGAGTCATCCAGAACCAGAGGGCGTAGGGAGCAAACGCTGGGGAAAAAGACTTGAGTGTAAAGGGATGGTGGCATAGGTTGACCTCATGAATAGGTTTGACCTCATCGCAGCCTTTCAGTACCTAAAGGGAGCCTACAGAGGGGAGAGGAATCAGCTCTTTGACAGGGTAGGTAACTGCAGGACGAGGGGAAATGGTTGTAAGTTGAGGGAGGGGAGATTTAGGTTGGATGTCAGGGGGAAATTCTTTACAGACAGAGTGGTGAGGTGCTGGAACAGCTGCCCAGAGAGGTTGTGGATGCCCCATCTCTGGAAGTGTTCAAGGCCAGATTGGATGGGGCCCTGGGCAGCCTGGTCTAGCATTAAATGAGGAGGTTGGTGGCCCTGCATGTGGCAGAGTAGTTGGAGATTCATGATCCTTGAGGTCCCTTCCAACCCTGGCCATTCTGTGATTCTGTGATAGGTTGAAATTGGAGAGGCTTGAGCACCTCTGCGCAGTAACGCATCCCAAAGCAGAGTCTTTTTCACCAGCACTTCTTTTTTTAATAGTGAAAACGAAAATTGCCGTCGTAATCTCGAGATGTTCGTTGGGTGAATTTATATCTGCATGTTGCAGTCACTGAAAAGTCTCTGTGCAGAGTGATGTCTGTGGAACACAAGGAATGCTTTATGAGAAGGAATACACATTTCTGAAGTTGTAATGCCACGCTCCTGTCTCTCCTATTTGGCTCGGGTTCTGATTTAGTTAAATTGTGTTACTGTGGAATAGTCTAGTTAGCAGGTGGTTAAACTCTACACAAAAAGATGTGAGCAGCTAGCCATAGAAGTCTCAAATGTAACCCTCTACCATCTTTTTAGCAGACACTTTACAAGTGAATGAGAACTTTCCATGGAACTGAGTTGAAGAACTTCATTATGGGTCAACAGATTTCAAGCCAGACACAAACTATAATGAACAAGTTGCCAGAAAAAGTAGCAAAGCATGCTTCCTTGGTTCAAGAAAGTGGTTTCCTAACCTATGAAGAGTTTCTAGGAAGAGTAGCTGAACTTAATGACGTGTAAGTGTTAATTTGTTTCCTATTTGCCATGTTTTACAAAGAACTTCTATGCAGTGTATTCCTCTGTGCTGGCTAAGCCAGAACTAGCCAACTTTTTTAGTTATTAGCCAATGTTTTTAGATATTTACTTTGGATCTTAAAGTTTTTTATAAAGGTTGTAGTTGCACTTAGACCAAGTCATTTCTCCTCCTTAAAGTCACTTTTCTTCCAGCTGGTGTTGCTTCACTCTTAGAAGATCCCAAGAAGATCCCAACATTTAATATATCTTTTAGTTCAAATCACCTGTTGCCCTTGCACCCCTATTCTCCATCACCTAAAGATGCCATGCTGCTTCCTTTCTTCCTGTCATTTGTGGTAGAAAGTAGCAATATGAGCTCTGTAGAGAGCCAGTACAGCAACAGTGGGAAGGTAGAACTGGAGGCAGAACTGTTTGTGACCATTTCTGCCACATCTCTGGACATGCAGTGCTGTTCCTCTTTAAAGATGAGATGTGTCTTTTACTGTTTGAAACCAGTGGCCAAAATAGTCCCCCAAAAAAGGCTGCATAAGTAACATTTGTCTTTGTAGCTTGCATTTTGTTTCACTAATATGTTGCCAGTAAAAAGAAAAGAATAGAAAAGCAGAGTTGTTGTTTTCGCTCACTCGGTATTTATGATATAAAATGAGCTGAGTTGAAGAAGTATGTGCTGAAAGGGGTTTTGTTGCATGTGGGTTTTGGTAGAATTTACTGTTTAATTTTAATGTGAGTTTAGAAATTGTCTTATACAGTGTCATGTTTTTTTCGAATGACTTTTGCACCTTCAAGAACAGACAGCTGTCTTCTGGGTAGATCAATTTTGAAGAATGTTTCCTTATGTTTCCTAAGAAAATCTAAGTATATTTCAGTGTAATTAACTCCAAAATACCATTCTTGTTCAAGTTTTTTATTTCTTGACAGTGTTTACCTCAACCTGAAAGTACTATGATTTGTTTGATTCTTGTGAAATAGACCACTGTCTGTGTTCCATTAAAAAAAAAGTCAGGGGTCACCTGAAGCTTATTACTTCTAGTATATGATAGCAAAAGCACGCCTTGTCTGCATATATATAGATGGTAATTGCATACTTGTATTACATAAATGATAAGGAAGAAGTTATTTTGGATTGGACAAGACTGTGTGATTGTTGTAATAAACAATTCAAGTATATTTGAATTGCAAAGTCCACCAAGGATGCTTGTGTTTTGTGAGATTTACTGTGCAATTTCAAGTGAAATGAATGACGTACTTCATGTTGAATGAGATGCTAAGATGGTTGCTACTCTTAAATTTCATGTCTTGGACAGTATTGATAAAATGCCTTCAAGGATAGAAAAAGACCTGGGTAAGCAATAGAGGATACTATAGTAACTGAGTTTGCTGATCTTTGCAAATTGGGCACGTGACGTTAGACTGATTTTTCTTTATTTCAGTACTGCAAAATTAGCTTCTGGGCAAGAGAAACATCTGTTATTTGAAGTGCAACCTGGTTCTGATTCTTCTGCTTTCTGGAAGGTGGTCGTTCGGATAATCTGTACTAAAGTAAGATTACTGACAATTTGAATTTGATTGGAGGGGTTGTATGTAGGTGTTTGAGGACTGGTAAAATCCAACACCTGTTAGATTTCTTTTAATATACTTGAGACAGCCAATGTATTCAAGGATATTATTTGTGACAAATCGAGTCTAAAATCTACATTTCTGTGGAAAGCAGGTTAACAAAAACATTTTCATGACTAAGCTTAAAGCAGCGTTATCCTTCTGTGGTGACTTACAGCCTGTTAATTACAAATTTGTAGGAGTTGTGAGATGAGTCCAGTGGTGATGAATTAGATGATCTTTAAAGATTATCTTCTAACTCAAACCAGTCTATGATACGTGAAAACCAAATAGTACAACAAACTACAAATTTGGGTCTATAATGGGTGAAGTTAGCCAGCAATTTCAAACAGTATTGGTTTAGCTAGCATAACTGTATGTATCTTGACTCCTTACAAAACTAATCTATAGTTTATAGTATTTATTAATATATATGTTATTTAACTATTAGTTTGAGGACCTTGACAAAACTTATTAAGGCTGCTCTTTCTAATAAGGAGATTTTTCCCCTCTGTATCCTATCAGATAACATCCTTAAACAATCCTGAAGCCAGCGAGCTCTGTTAATGTACAGTTACAGCCAAGCCAACTCTCAAATTTTGTTTGAAACTAAGAACTTGCAAGTTTGTTTGCTTTTAGCTTTCATTAAGGCAGCCATCATTGCAGGCTATTTTGAGCTGAAATGTGAAATGACTGATTATTCTATTCTTGTTCTAAGATTAACACAGTTTTTAGGCATTAGGTCACTTCTTGCTTACACCTTAACACATTTGAGCAGTGAACATAATTGTCTTCTCCTAGAAATCTAGTCATAACTGCGATGTTTTTCATAAGAAAACGGAGAAGAGCTGTGTTCGCAGATGTTAATTCTTGCCAAAGTAGGCTGCAGTTTAGGTGGCTACTGTCATGAGAACTGCATGAAAAGAATTTTGAACAATTTCCAATAAAAATTTGATATATAACTGTAAACAATTCTTATTTCTTAAGATAAATAAAACAAGTGGCATCGTGGAAGCTTCAAGAGTCTTGAACTTGTATCAGTTTGTTCAACTTTACAAAGACATCACCAGTCAAGCAGCTGGGGTTCTTGGGCAAAGTGGTACTTCTGAAGAAGCTGCTGAGAGTTTGACAACTGTGTCATCATCCCAGGCCAGCTTATGGATGGGAAGGTACGTTGATATACTTCTGACCACAGTTACAGCATAAATATCATTTAAGTTCTGTATAAAATCTGAAGTAGAAACCCTCAGTGATCAAAGCTGAGAGAGCTTGGCAGATGCAGTCTGTCCCACCAACATTAATAGCATATCTCTTCTACCAAAGAGAACTGCAGTACGTTCTGTTGAAATTCTGCTGGCACTACTATACCTTAGCTTTCAGAACAATCATTTTAGTGGTCAGTTTTAATAATAAGCATGGTATATGCTGAACCTCCTGAATAAGGAAACAGAAGGAAATGGAATCAGCTGCAGCTACAAATCTAAAGGTTTTGACAGTGTTTGTTTAAACAGAGTTTGTTATTGTTCCACTTAAACTTTCTCTTCCTCTTCTGCATTTTGGCATGTGAAAGTTCCCATCTGTTGCCACTAGAAACTCATCAATTGTAGTAATAATTTAACTTGCAAGACTGGAAAAATGTGAACTGTCTCACACATGTTGACATCCTGCTTTGTTAGCTAGAGGAAAAGTAAAAGACTGAGGTCAACACCTGCAATAACTTCAGCTCAAACT